ATGCGACGGCACGGAGCCACCCCTCGGTGACCTGCTCGCGGATGCTCGTGACACCGAGCCAGTGCCCGCAAGCCGTCTTCCGGCTCCGTGCTAGTCCAGCCGTCCCGCCGCCGCATGGTCCACACCCCGCTAGCGGGCGGCGTGCTTAGGCCGTAGCCGTAGGTTGCCGGTAGCTAGCTGTCTGTAGCCCTAGCGACCTGAGCTCAGGCACCCTAGGCAGCCGGAAAAAGGTGCGTCGAAAAAAAATAAAATCGTGTACATACTACATGCTGTCCTTTTGAGCACGACAGCGAGGCCCAGCCTTGTGCAGGCTCCACACAGCGCGGGCCAACTCAGGGCAACGCGCAAGCTTGCGGCGGCATGGTCGCGAACTTTTTTGCAGCGACACGATGTGCCCCAATGCAATCAAGCCCACGGAAAGCATACTTCGACCTGGGGATACAAATAGAACATAGGACGTGGCTGACAGGATGAGTTGAAAATCGCGTGATTTGAGGCAAGTCAATGATTCAAGACCGAGCTGTGTATGTCAGACACATCGTGTTGTTGGCTCCGGGAGAAATTGCTTGCCGCTGCCTCTTCATTCGAAGTGGAGGGACGTCCCACTTAGTGCAGAGTGGGGTGCGGCGGTTACGGCCGTCGTCCGCCGCATAATTTCTGCGGCTGTCGCAAAGCAGGACTCCACAATTGCACCCATGAGCGTTGATGGGTTGGGTATGCATAGTAATTATGTTTGTGTGCGGGCGTGTTCGTGACGAGGCATCATGCCCAGCGACCGCGAGAATGGTTTGTCGTCCCCGCTGTTGCGGACCAAACCTTCACCTGAAGAGGCTTTGGCGTTTGAAGTGTAGCAGCTGCTATGAGATTGCAGCTTTGTGTCTGAGCATTTAAACGAGGTGTATTGGAGCTTGCCGGGTTGCGGGGATGGCTCTGGCAGGAGCCCACAAGCCGGCAACGCAATCCTTACATGGATTGGTGGCTGCGCAAATGGCGGCTGATCTTGTACACGGTGGGACGAGTGGCCAGCTTGTGGCTTGTGATGCATCTTTCCGAGTCACTGCTCTACATCCATCCAGGTGTGCTTGTTGGTAGCTTCTGTTGGGAATACAGCCGGGCACCCAGCAACACCACGCAAATTGCATTGCCAGCAGCGTCAAACTTCAGGTCTTCTTCAAAAGAATGACGTCGGCCATGCCCAATTATGGCCTGATTCCTTGTTTTGCAAATGCCATGGCATTATCTTGTGAAGTCTCGTGGCAAGCTTGCGGCTGGCCCAGGGTGGTATTTGACGCAGCTTTCCACGCTTATCTACGTGCCGTTTTTTGCAACACTGGCCGGCACTGGGATTACCCAGCAGGCTCTCTTTTGAGCAAGCACGTCACAGATATCGAGCACTGGTGGCACAGTCAACTTTAAGCTGTGTCAGGTGGATTTCGAACTGGCGCGAAGCCCGGACACTGCCTGACAGTGGGAGCATCGCCGCGGTTGCGATGCGTTTGACCATTGGCAGACCATGACAAGGTGCGAAAATTCGCGCTGATGGGTGTTTTCGATGGCCTCAGTGGCACCTTCATGGTGCGCAACCTCGGACGCTCAAGTGTTGCAACGTGAAGTGCAATCCGTAGTACAGGCCGCATGGACGCAGCCATCCGAGGTTCTCGGAGGTGTGCATACTTCGGGCACGTTGCAGGTCCTCTTGGGCCAGGCATGAAGCTGGGGTCAAACCAGGTCAAGTGAGTGAGAATCGTTTGGTCGGTGCGCTGCCATAGCAGCAGAGATGCGATGGGACACAACCTTGTGATCCTGCTTTTGTTAGTTGTGTTGCTCCAAGTCTGCATCCTTGCATTGCCACCGCATGGGGAGGGCTCTGAAAGCACTGCAACTCGACATTCCGAAAGGAAGCGCGTGTTCCAAAGCGAGTTGTGCATCTACTTATAACAAGCTTGCAGGCAGTCATCCCAGTGACAATGATGCTGTCGGTGCTCCGACATGTTGCGCGAGAGCTTTTGCCTACCTTGGGCGGTTGGCCGATTCCAGGTCCGTGTTGCGCGTGTACGTATAAGTCAGTATAAGTCTTCCAGCCACGCTTGCCAGGTGATGCTGCTACGTAAACAGTACCACATGCTGCAGTACTTGGGCGCAACCACAATCGTCATGGGCATCGTTCTGGACAAGGCGATGCTTTCGCGACTGGTTGAAAGGGTATCGGTATATGTGTTTGCTTAACTTTATTGAATAGATGCGTAGGCAATAGTGGGGATCAGCTCTGCACGTGGTCGTGGCTATGGTTCACAAGTGCAGGGTTGCCCGGCCTGTGTGGTGATGGGTTGAGTTTCTCGATCGCGAGTTGGCAGGTGGGAGGAGAAGTGAGCTGTGTTGAAATCTGTTTCTTCATGTGCTTGCCCCTTCCTGTGCCATACTGCGGCAACCCAGAATGCCCTTCTTGTCGATGCAACGTTCAAACTCTCACAACCCGTAGTCCTACTATGTCCTACTCACCAAACCCTAAACCCGCTACCCTGGAACCCTAAAAACCAGAACCCTAGCCCAAGTGCGAGAGTCCAACTCCCAAGACCCTCGTCCGAGTGCGCGAGTCGAAACCCAAAACCCTTCCTGCTGCGATTCATCACAGCTTCTTTGGCATGCAGGTGGTGTCGACTAACGTCCCAGCGGACTCGATGGACTGGGTTCAGTTTAGGGTTTCGAGCCCATCGCTTCACGGGGGGTTTCAAAAAATTTTGTAGAGTAAGGAGGTTTGGGTGCTGGCATTGCCCAGGTCCACTGCTTCAGCACAGGAGGTTGTTATGAGATTTCCAGATCCCAGATGTTGATGCATGGACCGCCGCATTGTCCCATGTTTACGGTTTCAGGGAGGTTCTGTGGCATCTGCTACCCGTAGTGTTCATTGGTCGCAGTTTGTGGACAGATAAACACTGCTGAACTCAACACCCTCTTGGAGCTCCTTTCTGCTTTCCTTTGCATCTTGAGCCATCATGGAGACAGATGCGTCATCCGTGCCCCAATTCGCAGCAGACCATGCCGCAAAGCTGGCGCGACGAGCCTTGCTGGCCTCCGCAGGAACGGTCACGCAGCTGCTGATCGGGGATGCCATCGGGGATGCTTTCGGCTTCGGAGTGGAGATGCAGGACGCGTACTGGTTAAGGCAGGAGGTGACGCGCTGCACCAGCTGGCCGGAGAACCCTGTGAAGCCAGAGGAGCACAGGTTCAACAGCATCCGGGGAATGTATTCAGATGACTGTGAGATGACGGTGGGCTTGATGAAAGCATTCCTGGAACATGAAACGAACTTGACAGAGGAGGCCGTGCTCACAGCTTGGCGAGCGGAATGGGAGCTTGCGAAACGCCGGCCTCTCCCGGCAGTGCCTGGTGCAGAGCGCAGCGGTCATGGAAGTGTCAAGCATTTCTTTCGTGGAAGAACTACCATAGAGGAGCTGAAGGAATCACAGGCGAGTCGTGTGGATCCTGGCAATGCACCGCCGATGCGTGCGCTGCCGCTGGCTTTTGTGGACCCGGAGCTCTGCCAGAAGTTGTGCCGTGTGAATGCCGACAGCACCCATCCGCATCCAAAAGCCCGAGCTGCCAGCTATGTCGTCGCGCAGGCAGCTCGCTGGCTCATTGTGGAGAGAGGCAAGAAGAGTCGAGTTGTGGAAGTGGCTTTGGAACGGCTGCAGTCCAGTGACCTAAACCATGCAGAGACTGCGTCGCTGCTTCAAAGGATCGGAGAACTGCCCGATTACCACTCCTTTGGGCAGCGGCTGCGACGCATGCCGCAGGATGTGCATGCCCTGCTATGCGGCCAGCAGCCGCATCCAGACCTCGAGCATGTGCCGGGAGGCCAGGATGGGACATCTGCAGTGCATGGCTTGGGCAGTGATGCTATGCGGACAGCTGGGGTCGTGCTTTACATCCTTCGGTTTCATCGAGGTCCGCGCGATGCCTTACTGACCTCGCTCTACATCGGCGGAGATGTGGACTCGATTGCTGCTCTCTGTTTGGGGATTGTGGGTGGTTCGGAAGGCCTTCGCCTGGGCCAGCGATCTGGCTTGCCTTGGTTCTTGCTGGAAGAGCTGGAAGGTGTCGAATACTTAGTCTCCGTCTCCTTGCGCTTCGAGGCCTGGCTCAAGCAGCACCTGGGCTTAGTCTTAAGAGCTCCGGCCGGCGCGAAGATGAGCTCGGCGAGCTCCGTCATGAAGCGCCCTGGAGCTGCTCTTAGGAGGCCAGCAGCCAAGGCCAAACGGCACTGAGCACTCGAAGGGCACCTTTCGTGAGTCCGTGAGTCCAAAGACCTAAGACCTCTTAGACTGCGAGTCCCTGGCTTCTGCGCTCTTGCAGCCTAGCGTTCTTCAGGGAGCTTTTGCGTTGAGCCCGTGTCTTCAGCTGCTGTGGGCACCCTTTCTGACTTCGGCTCCAGCTGTTGCTGCTTGTTTTGGCCGGAGCCACGGAGCCATGGCGGCCGCTTTCTTGCAATCCCAGGGCGAGTATGGAAGTCTGGAAGTGAGGGAGTAGGCTTGTAAGTGTAGTGGTGTGCAGAAAATCACCGTGTCCGAGGCGCTCTTCCGACGTGGCGCTGCCCTGGCGCTGCCCGCTGTGCGTGGCGTGGCCACGGCCGGGAAGCCGATCGTGTGCAAGGCAGGGCGTTCTTTCCTTGCAGGGTTCACATCGCATGAAATACATACATCATAACATTGGCCATGGTCGCGGTCAAGACTTGTCCTGCTTGAAATTGATGCGGGAGCAGTTGCAGTGAGTAGCAGTGGCAGCAGTGGCAGCAGCAGCAGGCAGCAGCTGCAGTGGTCTGGAGGAGGGGCAGGAGCAGCGGCAGCAGCAGCAGAGCGGCAGCAGGACTTGCAACTCTACACGCAGAATAAGTCAGCATTACTAAATGACGGCTGCTGCCTGAGCTGCTGTGCAGCTTCTGTTCTTGCCGCTATACCATGACGACTACGGCTGCTACATTTGCTACCGCCTGTTCGTGCTCCTTCTTCTGCTTGTACCGCCGTTTCATTTGCCGCCGCCGCCACCACCACCACCAACACCACCGCCGCCACGGCCGCCGCCGCCGCCACCACCACCACCATCGCCACCGCCCCCGCCACCACAACCACCACCACCACCACCACCGCCACCAGGCAAAAACGCAGCCTGTCACAAGCGGCCGGACGCAAAAGAATTAGTAAGCCTGCTCAAGGGCAGTCGCGCAATCATTTCCGGGCAGTACGGGTCAATCTTTCAGGCGGCCTCTTAAAATGAAAGGAGCATTTGGCTCTACCGGAAAGCTGCGAGCACCTTCGCATCCAGGTTTTTTGCAATGGTTCTAGCAGAACACCGGATGCCTTCGAAGGCACCCGGAATGTTTCGGCTTGCAGGCCGCGGTGGCCCGAGGCGTGAACGATCTGCGCGTCGAGGCTCTGACTTCTCTCTGCTGCCACTTCGAGCGATAGGGGCTTTCTGAAATTCTGGCATTCCACTCGCTGTGCTATAGGTGTTAGGAGAAGCTACTCGAAGCGCCAACGTGGCCTCAAGACCTCCGTTCTTGGGAATTGCAAGATCAAACCGCCCTTTGCTCCTCGTAAAAAGTAAGTGTATGTATGTGTATATATATAAATATGTACATGATTATGTTTGCATACATGTATATATATATATATATGTTCGAAATTTGTATATGCATGGTTATATATATATATATATATGATTGTATTTGTATATGCAAGTATGCCTTTTTACACACGCACATGTACATATATATATATATATATACATATACGCACACACATGACGCTGTCGAGCGCGAGTGCCCAAAATACACGTATATTAGTATATGTATATATGTATATGCAGATTTATCATATGTATGTTCACCAAAGTACATATTTTTTTGTATTTGATTAACTTATCTATCTTTTCTGTCTATCGTTTCCTTTATCTATTTGTCTGTTTGTCTATACTCATGGATCTCTCTCTCTTTGTACATATATATATATATATCTCTTTCTCTCTCTCTCTCTATCTCTCTCTATCTCTCTCTACCTACCTACCTGCCTACCTGCCTACCTGCCTGCCTGCCTGCTTGCTTACCTACCTACCCACGTACCCACCTACCTACTTACCTGCCTGCCTACCTACCTATACATCTGTCTATGAAAACTAGCTATCTGTTTACTTGCCTATTTTCCTATCTGTCTATCTATGTATTTATCTATGTATCTATCTAGCTATCTATCTATCTATCTATCTGTCTGTCTATCTATCTATCTATCTATCTATCTGTCTATTTAGCTATTATCTACATACATACATACATTATTCAAACTTATTATTATCATCACTACTGCTATTTGTGTTTATGAATATGTATTTGTATTTGTTTGTGTTTCTATGTATGTACATGTTTATGTGTATGTGTGTGTGTATATGTGTATGTGTATGTGTGTGTACGTACGTGCGTAGGTATGTGTGTATGTATATATGTATATATGTACATATGTATATATGTATATATGTGCACATGTATATATGTTTTAATGTGTATACAGCTTTGCCTCAGAACGTCACCGTGGCACCGCCGGGGCCGAGAGAAGTGCGCCTGAAGGTTGGGAAAGGGAGGACCAGAGTGTTTCAGGCCCACCTTCAACTACGCAGGTTTTGAAAGGTTTCCTCATGCCGCAAAGGGGGCTTGTTCAAGTTTCTAGCTGAGATTCGAACTTGACAGTGGGCTTTCCTGCGGTGTTTCACGCGTCACATATTGTCACGGAGGAAGTGGGGTTGGCCGCAGGGGAAACTGCAGATGAATCTGCAGCATCTTTGTTTTGGAGAAAAGTGGGATTCTCTTTCCGGCTCAGAGGGCGCCAGAAGCCACTTCTAGATCGCAAGCCCTTTGTTTTCCTGCCAAAGAGTCTTGAATCCATGCGCATCAGCTCCTTGGCTTGCACCTCATGTTGTCTCTGCGTGCTGGGGTCTTGCGAACAGGAAACCTCAGAACAAGGAACACGCAGGACTACTCCTGGATTCGGACGCATTCCAGAAACGGGACGAACCTGGATCAAAACAGTGCATTGTCCGACTGCCCAAAGGTCTTTGAGAACTGGGGGGGGAGAAGGAATGCAACAGCAGCAATATGAAGACAATCGCATGTGGTGAGTCACGAAACAAACGCAAGCAGTGTAGCGTGTTGGACCTTCCAACTTCCAACCATGATCATCATCACGATCGCGGCTTCCTTAAGTTGAAGGATGTGCAACTAAACCCACGGTGCAAACAGAAGTGCACTGTAATCACCAGCATCAAAGCGACGATCATCGCAGCAAGAATCAAGTTCCGGCAGGGGCCTTTCAAACAGAAGCCTCTCCGCACTCTAGTTCTTGCTCCGGGTAAGGGGCTGTCTGCCATATTTTCAATGAGGGACGGCTCCTCACGCTTCCCGAAACGGTAGGGGTAAGGCAGGAGCTGGGGCACGGGCAGGAGCAGCAGTACTGGTAGTAGTAGTGGTACTGTGGTAGTAGTAGCCGCGTAGCAGTGTAGCGGTCGTGGTCGTCGTCGTCGTCGTCGTCGTCGCAGTCGCAGTCGCAGTCGCAGTCGTAGTCGTAGTCGTAGTAGTAGTAGTAGTAGTAGTAGTAGTAGTGTAGTAGGAGCAGCACCAGCAGCAGTAGTAGTAGTAGCA